CATTTATTAGTGAAGCTTTGGAATATGAAAATTTGTAAAATATAAATTTTTTCAAACATTCGTTGACCTCAGAATATTCCGATAGTTTTTGTTCTGACTCGCCAACAGCGGTGTGACCAAAGGTTGTGCGTCGAGGCTAAAGGACTGCGGGCCGTGGCTAAAGCATTGCGGGTTTTGGCTAAAGGAATGTAGGTCAAGGCTAAAGGATTGCGGGTTTTGGCTAAAGCTTGATGGGAAAAGGTGTAGTAGGCAATCGCACTGAATCACAAGGAGAAAAATGTCTCGTGACCAGTTCCCTTTATCGTTATCATGAGAGCATGATGTGCGTTGAATTAGCCTAGTTCGTGGTTAAAACATCACCTATACGCATACTTTCAGATCATGTTTGATTGAAAGAGTGCCTCGGGGTAGAGGTCGACTAATAATCTGGTGGGTAACCAAACTGGATAGAAGTCTGAACAGCGCAGATGCCTGCTTGTTTGTTACCTGCTTTGATATTCTGATGGACAATCGTCCCTCGGTTCTTCCAATGTATTTACCCCCAAAAAGGTATCACTCTTTTAAACAAACATTATCTGAATGTATGCATGCACGCAAACAATTGATGAAATAATCACGAAACACTTAAACTCAACATATCCTTTTATCCCAGCAATTCTTGTTTCTGTCATTTAAACATTTTCTGTTTGATAAACAGTTTTTCCGAAATGGTGTTTTATATTTTACGTCTTCGATAGCCGCATTTTACCACTTTCTCTTCATGATGCTCCTTCCCTCTTCCTTTTCCGATTCTCAGAGAACTGACTTGATTGGTTCGTGTTTGTCACAAACTCTGAGTCGATATCGCATAGGAAAATTTATCGGTCTGGTCGATGAGGATGAGGTGGCCATACTGATGAGTCGATCCACCACCAAGGGTGCTGAATTCTCCATGTTAACCGTATTTCAGCCGTATGTTATGCTCACCCTAGCCGGAGCCGCACTTGTTGGCAGCGTGCTACTCTACCTAATTAATTGGTTGAGCCCGTACAGTTGCCGGAGCTGTCACATTCCGAACGCGGAGGTGTTCGAGGCCAGTTTTCAGGAACAGTGTGCCATATTTTTGAAAGGAGGCTTGTCCCAAAGTCAGTTTTGCTGTTTCTATTTCCACTACTTTCTCTGGCTCTCACTCTTTGCAAATTGATTGGGTCACGTGTTCTGCACTCACCACATATCCATTATATATATATATATATCTCGGGTTAAACCTGTTGTATTTGATAGCAGCTAACCCGCAAAACTGCTTGCATTCATCGCATTAATTGACGAAATAAACTAAGTTGAACATGAAAACTGCACTCTGTGCCACTGATTAGAGAGTTTGACAAAAATATACATCCGGGGTTAGATTATGTAAATTACTTGCTGAAAGTTTATCAGATACGCATATCTGATGAACAGAACTCACCACGAAACCGGTCATGTGCTTCCGAGGATGTTTTCTTTCCAGTCATTGAGATATTGCTTAAATATATTTATAGAAATATCTATGTATATGCTACTCATATAGCTATTTCACTTTGGAAGGATATGGCTACAGCTTCGTAGTGTCAGGACAACGCAATCAGGAACTGCATTCGACTGAAAATTTCTGGTCTTTTTGGCAAAGTGGATTTTGGCGTCTATGAATTAACGATGATGGGAGTGGAACAGTTGCAATTTTTTGACCATCTAGGATTATCTGAAACATGCTTGGAAGATTGTGTTTTAGTCGTGACAAGTTGCATACTGCATGGAACCGCAGACCCCAAATAACGTTTTACTCATGGCATAAACCCTGATATGTCATTGAAGTTGGGCAGGTCGGTGTGCTTTGGCGAATAGCGTGCGCGAAATGGATCATTCTTAGTGAGGTGGCTTCATGCCCCTTGATCTCTTGTTCACACACGATATTGGCCATCACTTGCCATGCAATTCATTATTGTCAAATATCATAAGATAAACAATACATTGAACAGGGTTGCTTTAATAACCTCATCTTCGAGCACTTACAGCTAGGTGTGTTTATGTATAAGATAGAAACGAACGTGGTAAGGTAAATTGGAAAGAGCGGCGTGGCCCATCAAGTTCTGCAGGAGCAAATGGAGAAGGGAAGGGCGTGGACCTTTTATGCACAAGTGGATCCACAAGTCATGTTGCATCCTCATGACTTTATCGAGGTCATGGTTCTATTCGTCCCATCTGTTGGGGTAAGGACTAGGTGACTGGAGTGCGGTAACCATTTCCTCCTGTTTGCAGAATGGCGGGTTCAGGATTCTGATTACCACTGATTCTGACTTGGTCAAGTGACCTTGTTATGGGGTGTTCTGTAGATGATTTTAAGGAAAGATTGACCGATATCGATGAGGTGGGCCACAATAGCGATGGGTATTGTTTTCTAGCCTCTCTTTCTTAACCAAGCTGGTTTATTTTCTGTGATGTTTTGTGGAAATTGTTCGACCTAAATCGTTCGACCTAAATAACTTGCCGATCATGTGCGAGTGAAGGACTACGTAATCTGGTGGGGCAGCCGAACGAGTAATGCTGAGGTTAGGCGCAGAGTTTTAGGTAACCGCGGTAGCCCAGCGAAGCAAATGATCGACCTCCACAGATTACGCTGGTTGGGGCATGTGTTACGCATATCACCTAATAGGTTGCCATGGCGAGCGATGTTCGCCGAGGCAGGTAGTGGGTAGAACAAAGCCAAACGTGATCAAGCTAAGGCCTGGTATGAGAGTATGAAAACCCTAACCAGAAGTATGGGTCTATTAGGCTCCCTGGATGGGGACCTCGGGATGATCATAATCGATGGTTAGAGAAACTGAGTGATATGGTTGGGTGTGGTAAACAGTGGCGTTCGTGCATTTTCTTAATTTCTTATCATCATTACTCCACTGAAATCCTCATTTTTTTTATCCTACTTTCAACCTTCCTCTTTTCCTCCTATTCCTCATCCAAATGGGCAGCCAAAAGACAGCAACCAAAAATGACGCACTGAAGTGCATGCTTATTGGTTGTTCATACTGAAACTGAATCATAGACGGAGAGATTGACTGGCTAGTCCTTGAGGTTTGTACAGAGCTGTGGCTGGCTTGTAAACGTCGCACGTAAAGAGGTGGCTGGATACGCTCGGGTGATTGCTTTGACCATACGTGTTCTCAGTAGACCACTACCTGAATCGCTGTTGAAGGGGAGCTGTAATAATAGTTCTTTCCTTTGGACCGTGATTGCATTGGGTGACGGGAGCCTTTCAACGATGTTTTCACTGATGAACCGAGCCAAATATCCATCTTTAAGAAGTGTATATTTGATGTTTCTTAGTTATTGTTCCACGAACTCTAAGATTCTACTTCTACAGTTCAAACATTGTGCTAAGTATTGCTTGAATTTGATTGAAACGAAATTTTGAAAGTAGATGTATTAGCCGTTCCAGTATGGTTAATGAAAAATTGAACTGCATAACAATCCATTTGGTCCCTTCTTGAAGTTTACATCCAGAAAATGAAAAGTGTCCTGATCGGAATAGTGAAGACACAACATAAGTTTGCACAATTTATCTTGGATCATTTCGCTGCATCTGTGCACATGCATACTGCAGTTTATGTGACCATTAATATATAGAAGGCGTGCACGTTAACAGCGTGCTAACCGCCTCATACCATGGCTGAACCGAATTGCCAATTCATGCTTGCTCAGGTGTCGTCTTTAGTGATGGTCAGTCAGTTCATTTGGTCCGAATACAACGAAGGGAGACACAGATGACAATCTGTTAATTCCTACCGAAAGCCTCCCATCAAGTTAAGACTTCCATGAATGTCAATTATCCTACACTACTACTCACAAGTAACTGTAATTTAAATGCGAACAATAATATATGTCCTGAATCCCTGTGTTGTTTGTGTCATAGAGGATTCTAAACGCGTCACGCAGTATGACACAGTGCTTCATTTTGACCATGTGTTCTGTGATGGATGAACTCAGTTTCCTATGGGCCATCAGCGGAGTCAAACTTCCAAAGTTTCTACTTTTTTTCTTTTTTTGAAACCAGACCGGGATGCTTCCGGTTATTTGGTAAAGCAGTCTTTTCTCCGTTCTGCCGATGTAGGTTTCCGAGCATCCATACTTGAACTGATAGATACAGTTAGCATAAAAAGGTAGGCTGCACGTGCTATGCCAAGGTAGATTTCGCTGCATTTCAACTGGCAGAAAACTGCAGTTTATATTGTTGAATCCCCTGCTGCGTAGGTTCGCGGAGTCGGTTGCAATCAGAAACTGAAAACCTGGCCTGGGTGTGTAAAAAGAACTGTTAATCACAGTATCACTGCCTTGGCAGTGATAAGTGCGACAATTGTTCCCTGTCGTATTCTTGTGTGAGCTGATGTACTGTTCAACGATATAAACTGTAGTTTTCTGCCGTATTGTACCAGTTGAAATGCAGTGAAATCTACCTTGGCATAAATCGTGCAGACTGGCTTTGTCATGCTTTCTCTTCAAGTTTATCTCAGGAATTAAATGTTTCACAGACAATTAGATTTGGCGTGGAGAGACAGCAATTCTTTCACCGAGGGTGTTGGCAACCGAGTGATTGTAAAAACAACAATGGATTTAGTTGTGTAGAAGATGCGACTAGCTACCCATTTGAAACCCTTGGTAACCAGCCAGCTGATATCGTCCCCCTTGAAGGGCAGTTGCAGAACCATTCTCATCTTTTCTGCACCTGGTGTCTTTTTCCGTCTATAATTGATTTGAGAGTTCTTTGGAATGAACCTTTTTGGGCATCCATTAGGTTGTATAATTTATCTAATTCTGTCACGTTCGTTATCCAGGGTCTCTGGTGTGCAAATCTGTCGCGGCCTGTGAAACAGCGTTCGGACTTGACCAATCTTATATCCCATCGAGGCAAAGCTGGTAAAATAAAGATATTATCCAGATCAGGTATTCTTTCGGTACAAAAACGTGCTGAATGACCAATCCGTTCGGCGTGAAATCTCCACGTCCAGAAAGACGATGCTATCTTGCGTTTCACTGTGGCGTTTCGACGTTATGTTGGGGTGAAGAATACTCAGGCGTTCGAATACTCTCTTTCCGTGTTCCTTGGAGTCACAAATAATAAATATGCCATCATCACATCGGTGATACGGGCTCAGTCTTTCAATTTCGTCCCGTAGGTGTTGTTCAAGATCGCTAACGAAAATGTCCGCGAGAATGGGCCCCAGAAAAATGGCTATAGCAGCCACATATACCTGTTGATATCGTTCACCTAGGAAAAAGAATCGCATATTATTGGTACACGGTAGTAAAAGCCGTTACAGCTCTTTCACTGGAAGTTCCATATGAATGTTTATTCTTCCATAGCCCGGCAAATAATTGCGATTGCCTCCAGCATTCTGATCATCTGTTTCGGTCATAAACTTAGTTGACGGAAGAGCTCCATTCAACCGATCTTATATTATGTTTGGCAACACGATTTGATCCAAGCTTCACTCACTGTACTCGTTCGGTGAGAAGAAGAAGGGATATTATATTACTATTATTTCAGACTTGTCTGAAGCCAAACTGTGTGCTAATCAAATCATGTTACAATAATCTTTATAAAAAAAACGTTCCATAATTGGCATAAGGGTAGAGTACTGCCAGGTTGTCCAGGCCAAGGCAGGTGAATTTTTTTAAGGAATCCAAAACCAGAGACTTCGGCTAGCCAAAGCCTGGCCCG